GTGCAAGGATCTCATGCTGTAATTAGGTTCTGCAGCTGTGATAGCAGTGCAAGGACCTCATTTCGTAGTTAGGCTCCGCAGCTGCAATAACAGTGCAAGGACCTATGAGTAAATGACAACATTTATGTACTATATGATGCTAATTAACCGATTCTTGTTGCAGCTATGCAGTCTTCTTGGCTGCATTTCTCTATGTGAAAATGCAATAGATTATATGAAATAATTCTATATTCTAATAAGATTGGTGTAATGCTTGTAACTGATAGCGAACGGAATTCCCATATGTTTTTCTTCGTTCAAATAAAGTCATCTGATTGAGCAATAATAATGCGCAATTCACAAGGCAATCCCGAAAGTACCCGTAAAATCAAGAAAGGAAAGATCTACAATCACGCTGACCAACAAAATGCAAGAGTTTGTGTACGTACACCATCGAAGATGGCTGTAAGCCATACTCTTCGTTTCACTTCCGTAAAACTCCGTTCCTGGTATATTCAACATATTATGAACATTAACGATTAACCATATTTAATTTTAGAATTATTAATGAATATTAATTGTAAAATTTAACCGTATAATATAAGTAAATAATTAAATGCGATTAAACGAATAATAGTTCTAATTTCTAATTTGGAGAAAGTCGAAAAATGGTTTAAAAAATTTTTATAGGAGTGTGTTCACTTGAACCCAAACTGAACCCGAGATGGCCTATTAAATCTAACATTTTTAACAAGTTGAGAATTGGAATATTAGGGCAATCAGATATTAAAATAGCAACTCGAAATGATTGTAGAAAAATTTAACACTTTTGACATATTATTAAGAACTAGAATATTAGATTTTCAGAAATTATGGATCAGATTTTGGTATATCGATATCAATTTTTCGATTATCATTTTGTCAAAAATTAATCTTCTGCTTGAAGCACGAGATCAGCTTCAAGCGCTTGAAATCACCATCATAATGTTATAACTTCAAGCGTCGAAGTTGCAACTTTGTAACATTTAATGCCCAAAATGGTCAACTCAAGCAATGATCAACTTCAAGCATGACAGCTCTGCCACAAAAATGTCTGCAACTACAATTAAAGGGAATCCAAATTTCATCTTAACAGTAATTTTATATCTTAATTTTAAATCCCATGCCTTAATTGTGTTTTAAAATAAAAACTTTACTATATCATACGCATTTATGTAAAATGATTGCAAAATTCTTTGAAAAACTTTCAAACAATTTTCTTGAAAGTCTTGATGATGATGAATTTAATGTGATTATTAACGTTGGCGAATCTTTAAACTCAAAAATATACAAAGCACATTCAGTTTTTTTAAAATATAGATCTTCATATTTTCGCAATGAATTAGCGAACGCTGACACTGATAATAATAATGTTAAGATAATTTACTTAAAGAAAATATCTATCCAACAATTTGAAATCATTATCAAGTAAGTTAGTTTTATTTTACGATATATAGTCTATGCTACGTTGCGAAAAGCAATCTAAAATGTTCCAAATTTTATGCAAAGATATATCTATGGAGGTGTTATTTTAATTGAACAACATGACATATCATTTATTTTTAAGCTTATGCTTGTTGCTCACGATCTTCTTCTTGAAGAATTGGCCAAATACCTTGAAACTCACTTAGTTGAAGAAGAAACTCACTGGCTTCGTTTACATTTTAATCGCATTTATTATATATGTTTTCAGAGTAATAAGCTTCAAAAATTACAAGAGTGGTGTATTAATACTGCAACAAGGTATCCTGATAAGATTCTTGATTCTAAAGATTTTATCACTCTTCAAGAAAATGCGTTAGTTCCACTTATCAGTCGAGATGATTTACAAATGAAAGAAATAAATATTTGGAATCACGTTATTGAATGGGGAATTGCACAAAATCCTGGGTTACCTTCCGATTCTAAAATTTGGTCTCATGAGAATTTTTTAGCTTTAAAGACTACTTTAAAAAACTTCTTGCCTCTTATACGTTATTTTCAAATGTCAGCTGATGAGATTATTGACAGTGTACGACCATATCAACAAATTCTGGAAAAAGATCTTTGGGATGATATATCAATAAAATTTATGTCGCCAAACCGACCAATAAAATCGTTAATTCTTCCACCCCGTCTGGTTTTAACACAATCATTACCACCTAGAGTGACTCCTCACATAACTTTAACACAAACAACTGAACCTTTTTCAGCCATTATTAATGAAACTCAAGCAGCTGTAATTGCTTCATGGGTTGATGAAAAACAAACTGGCTTTTATTCTGCAACTAATAATCCATATGAGTTTAAGTTACTTCTTCGTGGAACAAGAGATGGTTTTACACATAATTCGTTTTGGAATTTATGCAACAGACAAAATAATATTGTTGTAGCCATGAAGGTTAAAGGTACTGGTGAAATCTTTGGTGGATATAATCCTATTGGTTGGACAAGACCAACTGAAAAAAAAAGGTTTATAGCATGTGACAAAAGCTTTATTTTTTCATTAAAGATTGATATTCAAAGTTCTATCGTCAGTCGTGTAATTAACCCACAAACTGCAATTTTATGTCACGTTATTGGTGGTCCGTCTTTTGATAGTGATCTTAGAATGCTTAGTAATTTCTGTAAGAAAGAATCATGTGTATGTACAAAAACTTCTTATCAAATACCACTAAAAGAAGTACAAGGAAAATCAAAAGCATCATCATTTTCAGTGGAAGAATATGAAGTGTTCCAAATCAAAGGTTTCAGAATTAATGATTTGGCATCTAGTTTTGCATAAAATAAGTGACGTATTTATTTCGAAGTAAGCGATATATACATTCTATTTTATGACAATCAATAACTGAAAGTTTATGAATTTATGTAATACAGAACTCTTATTTCGAAACTTTTTATTTCGTTTTCTGACGTCAAATACAAGGTTTTTTAAACTCCCTATTATTTATTGTTTTAAGTTTGCATTCAATTCATTTATTATTTTGATTTTTGTACCAATTAAAGTGGTATATCCTAAAGATAACTATTTATATAAATAGATGAATTAAGCATGTAAAAGTTTGTTTATTAAGAATTATAATAATAAAGTGTAATTCGTTAAATGTCTATATTTAAAATAAGCTTTTGTCAAAAATTAAAAGTGGCATTTTTATATTTTTCTTGTTTATAATTATTTATAAAATTCATAGGTACACGTATATTCGAATCTAGAATCTTAATATAATAATCAAAAACATACGATTTATGAAAACCAAGATCTATTAATGCTGTAATGATACTCACCCATTTTCTCTCGGGACACCAAATAAGAGGAAATTTAGTACAAAAATAAACTAAGTACTTTGAAGATAGACATTTAAGGCGTTAGTTCTGGAGAATATTGGAATAAAGCACTATTTTCTATATAAAAAAAATTTTAATTAGTTTTCAAGTATTTTCGTTTTCATTGTGGGTGTTTGTTATAACGGTTTTTAATGTAGTGATGTTATCCTGCCTCATGTAACATAAATAGGTTTTCAAATAACTGTTAATAACTTTATTCGGATTAGTAACAAAGAATTAAAAAATCATACTCGAAACAAACAATTGTTTCAAACAGTTTAAGCAAATTAATTTCATAAACCAAGTTTCTAACATTAAAATGATTATTTTTACTTCATATTCTTCATATTGTGCTAAATTATCGATTGCTATTAATGAAGTGAATGAGTTTAATTAGTCACATATCGAAAATCAATTAAACAAATTTGAGCATTTTAAGCAGGATAACATCCCTATTTTAATGGTGGTGGGTTTCCTAATATCTTGAGTATTTGTGGTCGTGATTTTGGTGGGAAAATTAATAAGTACTTTCTACTAGTTACTTTTTATTTTCCTATTTACAGCACTTATTTCAATTCCTATTTTTTATTTGTTTATCTTTTCTTGAATCCATTTTTGTGCTTTATATGTTACTTGTGAGGTTATTTGAGTGCTGCCAAGGGAAAACCTGTCATCGGACTTTCAATTATATTTGTGTACTGTTAGCCGTCTATGAAAAATATATAATAGTGATAGATTTTCCATAGATGGCTAATTGTACTTAAAATATAATTGAAAATCCGATGACAGGTTTTCCCTTGGCGGCACTCATTTTATTGTGTGGTTTATTTTTGTATCCGGTTTAATTAACTTTCACAAACCAAAACTACATGTAGTATTGGGGTGTCATATCGACTATTTAATCAAAACTATGTCAGTTACATTGATAATTTTACTATGAACAGATTTTTATCAGTAAAATTAAGGTAATTAATCGAATAAGATTTTACTTTACTTATTTATAAAGAAAAGCGCAAAATTCTAAAGAATTCACATAAATATTGCTCTTATTTTTCTGATTTCTGTTGACTGAAAATTGTTTATCAGAACCATCTCGAAGTAACTACGTTTGATTTTCGTTAATTCTCTAATTAAGTTTCGACTTATAATTTTTTGGCTTTAATTAATGAATTTTCAAATATTCTATATAGTGAATGCTAAAAATCCACATATTAATATAAGAAATTGAAACGTAGCTTTATTCTTTGACTTTATATAAGCAAATGATGAAAATTTCAAGTTAATTTCACGTCTTGGCGATAAGTTGAAGCATTTTAAAGATCAATTTTAAAGCAATAGTTTTATTGTATAGTGATAAATTGAAAATTCAAAAAATTGGATTTGCATTTGTGCAACACAAAAATCTGCAATATGATAACTTAAATAGTTTTGATTAAATAGTCGATGTGACACCCCAATGTAGTATCATATAAAAATTTATTATCCGGTAGATGACTATGATCAGACTGCTAAATAAATTTATTATTCGGCAATTGTTATTATTCGGCAGTTTTTATTATTCGGCAGTTTTTATTATTTGGCAAATTAGAATTTTGATAAAACGCAAATATTTATTATATTTAAAAATGTAATTTTTTACATATTTAAAACTATATATTGATACTATCTATTTAAATATGTTAATTGATTGTAACATTATCTGCAGTAATATAATAATTTTTTACGATCATATTTCTATCCATTCTATCTTCTGAAGTTTGATAACTACGTTCATATGATTCTTGCTGTTCAGATGATTGGAAATTTTGCTGTTCGGATGATTGAGAGAGACTTTTTAGTGGTGTACGAAAAGGCTTCGTTACAGATTTCCATTTTCTGGTCGATTCATTTAATACTTTATTAGCCAATTTTGATGCCAAATTCAAATTAGTCTAAAATAAAAAAAAATCATATAAATATTATTTTAAAAAATTAACACTTTATTCATAAATCTATACCTTTGATTCTAAAAGTTTAGCTTGATTATCTTGCGTATTATCTTGAGTAGCAGTTAAGTTTTCAATATGGTTCTGGTTTTATAAAATTTTAAATTTTTTAATAAACCTTTTTATATAAAATTAAGGTGATAATACTTACGTCAACTTGTTTTAAGGGTAGCTCAATATTATTGATCAAGCTTGATAATGCATCTTCCTTATCTTTTCCAGAAGGTCTTGCATAAACCCGATAAGAGGACTCACTTTTATGGCCTGTAATTGCTATCGTTGTTACCATAGGAACCCCTTGTCTAAATAAAGCAGTAATCGAAGTTGATCTCCCAGAATGGTTAGTAATACTACGGTTTTTGGTGTCAATACCAACTATATTGCAGACATTTTTCATAAATGATTGACATAATTTTTTGCCAAGTCGGGTATCACAATACCAAGGTTCTTCTGGATCATCTAATCGAATTAACAATATAAGCACAATTATAATTTAATATAAATGCATAATTTAAAATACTTACATGCAAATTTATTGTTAATTCGAAGATGTAAATAAGGAGTTTGATAATTTTCAGGATGTTTAGAAATATAAAGCTTCAAATTATGAATAGGGCCTTGAAATTCTGTAGGATCAGGTGGTACAGGAATTATTAAACCTGTATTATCACTTTCAATACCTCCTTGATCGTTCTTTTGGGAATATTTAGTAAATCGTAACCCTCCATCCGCAGTAAAAACAAACTGAGATATTTTAATTGAATAGTATTCGCCATCTCTAGGCTGAAACAATAAACAACACCACATAAAAATGCGATATTGTAAACCTTGAGGATCATTAATAGAAATCAACTTATGTTGAAATATTTGTTGTACT